TATGGTTGTTTGAAGTGCATATTGTTACTCCAGCCCTGCTTAGTAACCTTCCCTGCCTTATGACCAACTCACATTTCTTTGTCTCCTATGGAGAGCAATCTTCAGACATGGAGGTTCCTAGACATGGAGACACAATTTCAGTTGCTACTGTGTAGCCCATTCAGAAAGCACCATGATCATGGGTAATAAACCTCACATGGGCCTTCTCCCATTCTAAACGCTTGACTTTCACCAGCCTTGGTACATGCCAAACTAAGGAGGTGTCTTTTTTGCCTATTAGATAAATGGGATACTCACCAAAGTGTCCTTCTTCCCTCTTTGTCTATTACTTGTAGAAAACCTTCACTTTAGGGCATTGCACCTTGGTAGCTGGGTCAAAAGAAAAAGAAGAACCAAATGACTCAGGCCTGGCCTAGAGTTTACTTGACTGGGTCAGGCAACAAAACCACTCAGAGTGAACCAAGATAAGGCCTCGTGGCTGGGTTGCCAAATTGGTGACAAAATGGTCCATGTCCTGCTGTGCGTATGTCCAAAATACACAACAGGGAAAAGTTTTCTTCTAAAGGATGTATGAGTCTGTGAGCAAAATGGGTGATTAACATTTCCCCCCATTTTTTCAGTGCTAAAGAAGTGAAGTAAAGATTGAGTCTGCAAATTCAACTAAATATGCTAGTTTTGTGGCCACTCAGGAAATAGGCACAGGAAGCCGTTCACAGATGGAGATTATATAAAAGAATCATTCATTGATTTCATAAATGCAACACACTACAGCTTTTTTATGCATAGCATAAAGGTAAAAACGATATATGCAGTGTTATTTTCAGTTTATGTGTCAAAAGGGTATGGCTCCTGATGTTTTCTTTTCTGTGGGAAACGGGTCCAAATGGCTCTTTTAGTGTTTAAGGTTGCCGACCCCTGGTCTATGCTAAAGCTCAACAATTTCTTAATCAGGATATCATGTGGCTCTTTGTCAAAGGCCTTGCTGAAATCCAGGTAAACCACACCCTCTGTCTAGCCACCTTGAGAAAGCTTATCATGAAATTCCACAAGGTTCATCTGGAAGAATCTGGTTTTACAGAATCTGTGCTGCGTAGTTGACAACCTCCCATTACTATCTAGGATGTCTAGAGTTTTTCCTATTAGGAGACTTTTTGTCATCTTTCCCAGTATGGACATACATTCCAAGGATGCACACATTCTGAGTTTTAGAAAAGAGGATTTTTCTCAGGCCTGGTTATGTGTCAGTGATTGCATGATTTAACCAATAAAAGTTATACCTACTGATTTGTACATCAGGAAGGAAGTAGAATACTTGGAGGACATATTAGCCAAAACCTAATATTGTCGTGTATTAGAAGGAAGTGAGAGATAAAAGTTGACAGAAACCTGAGTGCAGAAGGGGAAGACTAAACTGAGATAAATAAAATAAAGACTATTCAAAGTACATTCAGGAGAGAAAGGAGGATCTGTCAGTGAGGAGTGTTTGTGAAGGGAAAGGGTGTGATGCCTCAGTCAGAATTTGTTTTTGTACAATGCTTTATTCATTAAGTTACTGAACATCTTGAAACCAATATGCCTATTGTACAAATGCAGTTTTATTTTGTTTATTGTTAACTCACGAGTCATAGGTTATTTGACTACCAGCGTCTCATCCTCAAGACCACATAGTCCAATGAAAGAGCCTTATAGCTTGGGCACAATATTGAGGAAGAGGCTAGTTAATAGGGTTGAAATTAGATGCCTGGTGGAAGTATTACATACACAGAGAAAGAGGGAAAATCAAATCAAGGGTCACCATATCCAAACAAAATATAGAAGAGAGCTCATGACAGAAGGCTTGGCTGCTGCTAAGGGGAAGCAGGTACCAACCCTGAACATTTGTCCAGAACAGACTCTGAATACATTTCCTCTTATATTTTTTGACAGCTGTCTGAAAGTGAGCTGTTATGCAAAACCAAAGGTGTGAGTGATATTCAGCTGCAAAAAGGGGCTTTGGGGATTTAAATCCCTCTCACAGCAAGATCCTCAAAATTCCCCCAGGGCATACAGTTTGCATATTGTACTGAACCTTAAATGGCTTTTTTTAAAAAAAATTGTTATATTATTATTTATGTATGTATTTATGTATTCTTTGTGAGCCGCCCCGAGGCTTTGTTGCGATGGGGGCAGCATAGAAATGTTTTAAATAAATAAATAAACCTCCAAGTCAATTGAATGCAAATGTGTATTCTTCCCTTTTTTTCCTTAGGGGAAAAAGAATGAGCTATGAGTTAGCTTTGACAACTAGTTGACAAAATTCTAGGTCCCTTTAAAAAAGAAGTTTTGAGTGGGGACTGGGGATTTTGGACTGGGACTTAGACACATGGGGAAAATGGGTGATTAACATTTCCTCCCATTTTTTCAGTGCTAAAGATGATTTGCACCTTTGATTTTTTTCTTGACAGTTTGTCCTTTGAATAATGCTAGATTTTTTAAAAATGCATTTTTGTTTTAAGGCTGGCCAACTACTGGCAGCCCCTTCAAGAAACCATTGGGGCATCTGGACTGCTCATAGCTGTTGAAGGACAAATCATGCTTTCCCTACTCCGAAACAAAGGAGAGGGAGGTAAAAGGAATAACATCTGTAGTAAGCCAGAAATGGCTCATGATAATTGGTGGGAAGGAGATACATAAGTGTCAGTAGCCACCCACCTGGGGCACTTTGGAGTAACTGACACTAGCTATTATTTGCCCCTCCTGCTTTGGGACTCACCTACCCGTGGTTCATTTTTCATCCAGGTTCAGACAACATGATAATCCTTTGTGAGTAGAACAGCTTGTTGAGAGCTGGTGTGGTGTCGACTGAAAATATGAGAAACTTGAGTTTTAGTCCCCACTTGGCCATGAAGTTCACTGGGTGACTGTGGGCTAGTCAAATTGGAAAAATAAAATGGAGTTAACGTAACTTGGTCCTCACAGGAGGAAAAAAAGTGGGAAATAAATGCAATGTAATAATAATAGGACAAGCTATGGGTTGTTGGAAGGCTTGTTTTCTACAAACAAGTCACCCTGGAGAAAGAAGCAACCCACAATGGGTTGTCACATCGTGTTATGAGAACCCAGTTATTATGCTATTCTGTCTTGCCCAACTTAAGGTGCTTTTTCTAGTAACAAGGAAGCAAAAATAAAATATAGGATAGAAATGAAAGATATCTGAATGACCCATAAAGTTCTCTGAACAAGACAGAGCAATTACATCAGATCAAAAGGTTGAGAAGAGACAGAATAGTTATATATTGCGTTTTGACTGCTAATACTTTCATCCAGAAGCACCCTAACATTTCAGCTTCCGCTCACACCTTGTATCTTTATAGGTATGTGCAGCGTGTTTTATAGATGCAACATAGGAATATAATACATTCAAGCGGCAGACGTTTCAAAATTCCTTTACACGTGGCCACAGTCACAGGCAATTTACACCCTTCCTTGTGCACCTGTAATATATGCCACATGACCGTGTTATATCTCTACCAATCCAGGTGAGGCAGTGGCTGTACTGAACCGGTGCCTGGCTGAGGTAATGGGCTGGATGAGGGCCAATAAACAGAAGCTCAATCCAGACATGATGGAGGTCCTGTTGGTAGGTAGATCGGGCTTTGGGATGGAGGACTTTGGCCTTGTTCTGAATGGGGTTGCACTCCCACTTAAGGACAGGGTCCACAGCTTGGGAGTGCTCCTCGACCCAGAGCTATCGTTGGAAGCTCAAGTGACAGCGGTGGCGAGGAGCGCTTTCCTTCAGCTTCGGCTGATCCATCAGCTGCGTCCCTACCTGGAGAACGACTGCCCGACAACAGTGACACACGCATTGGTCACTTCCCGATTAGACTTCTGTAACCCGCTCTACGTGGGGCTGCCCTTGAAGACGGTCTGGATACTTCAATTGGTGCAAAATAGAACTGCCAGGCTGCTGATGGGGACTGGGTGTTGTTCTCATATAACCCCAGTCCTCCATCAGCTCCACTGGCTCCCCATTGAAGTCCGGGACCAATTCAAGGTGCTGGTTATCACCTACAAAGCCCTGAACGGCTTAGGTCCTGGTTACCTAAAGGAGCGCCTGCGTCCATATATGCCCTCCCACCCCTTGAGATCTGCAGCAGAGGCCCTTCTCCGGGAACCCTCCAGGAAGGATATGAGGAGGGTGAGTACTCGGAAGAGGGCTTTCTCTGCGGTGGCGCCCAACCTATGGAATGCGCTCCCCAGAGAGGTCCGCCTGGCGCCGTCATTATTTGTTTTTCAGCGCCAGGCCAAGACCTTTTTATTTAAACACTATTTTAATTGTTAAGGTTTATTTGTTGATTTTAAACTGACCAGACTGTTTCCACTATTTTATATATTTTATTTATTCTATTAATTTTTTTGTATTTATATGTGGGATTTTAATGATTGTAAGCCGCCCCGAGGCTTATGCGATGGGGACGGCATATAAGCTGTCTAAATAAAAATATATATTTCTGAGAGTGCACAAACAAAACATGTTGCATGTTCCCGTAAAGAAAGAAATATACGCTGTGCACTGAAGCTATCACAAGAAAGTACTATCAATTATCTTGACTAACAGTTACAGACAGCGTTGGTGTTTCAGGTTTTCTGCCAAGGCTGCAGAGAACAGTATTCCTTGGCGTACTCTATAGTAAAAAGATTACTTAAGTTGAGGGAGCGAGGACGAAACGAACCACCTGTCCCATTTTTCCGAAATGAAGACAGCAATTGGTTCCCTGGGACAAGAGGCTGCTCTGATATGAGACTTCAGCATGAGGTCAGTCCTCTTCCTCTTCCTCTTCCTGTTTCTCGCCTCCTTGGTTCCCGGTGCCCTCTGGGAGTTGTAGTCCCTCCCTACGAAGTGAGAGGCTGCTCGGGAAGGCGAGGAGTTTAGCCTCCAGTTCCCGTGATCCTCTCCGGGCGCTAACGGCAACTGTTGCTGTTTCCCGGATGTCATTCTCGCCGGAAGAGAAGCGGGTTTCTTTGGGGGCCGGCCATCTTGTGTGGGCAGCAAGCGAGCGCGCAGGGGGTGGGCCTGGAGCCTGGGCAGCATCGGAGGAGGATCCTACCGAGAAGCGCCCATCATGCCCGGACACCTGCAGGAAGGCTTCGGTTGCGTCGTTACGAACCGTTTTGACCAGCTCTTGGACGACGAATCCGATCCCTTCGAGGTGATCCAGGCGGCCGAGAGCCGCAAGAAAGAAAGCAGCAGTTGCGGAGGAGGCGGCGGCGGGAGCCACCAAGGCAACCGAGGTGGCGGCGGGCAGGTGGCCCAGGCCAACTCCTCAGGCGGCGGCGGCGGCGGTTCGGGCCAGGCCGGCTCCGGTGGTGGGAGCGGCAGTGCGGCCAAGCAACTGCGCAGAGAATCGCAAAAGGAGCGCAAGATCCCTTTGCCGCCTTTCGCCTCCTCTTCAGGGCCTGGTGGCTCCGGGGATCGAAGAGAGGATGGGGGCGGGCAGCCTGGCTCCGTGCCACTCAGAAAGGAAGGTGAGTGGTGGGATCTTGTGGGGGGGAGTAGAAGAAAAGGGTCCTTCACAAGGTCAGCGTCTGCATTGGGCGGGCGGAGAATCTTCCTCCAGGGGTAAGTGGCGCCTGCTGTAGTCCAGCCCCGCAGCTCTCCACCGCCTTCTGGGCAGCACGTGGTGCTGGAGCAGTCTTCTCCCTCCGGAAAAAATCCCCTCCAAGGAGTGTTGAGCAAAGACAGACTCCTAGAGGAGACGTGAACCTTTTCCTTGTGCTTCCTCAATGAGTGTTGATTGGTGTGGAGCTCGCTCTGTTTACCCTTAGTCGAACTGCCTCGTGTGGACAGGCGCTGTGTGGGAAGAAACGGGCATAGCTCGTAAGGCCAAACTGGGAGGGTCTTCAATTCATCCCGCTGTTAGTGTGCAGACAAGGTTTATTTTTGGAGTGATCCAAAAAAGAGGCTTGCGTCGGGATGCTGTGGCTTTCGAGAGACCATTAGTGGACGGAGGTTTAGTATCGATGGGCGCGTTCCTACCTTGAAGTGGAAATGTGTAAAATGCATGCAGTGAGAATGGTTTTGCTGGTTCATTTCTGTAAATCTCTTACACCAGAAGAAGCAATATAGACACGTGGTGGTGCTAATGGTATTTAGCCAATTTATAGCTGGGCCACGTGCGTTGTCCGCATGTTGCTTAGCTGGTGCTTAGGCTTCCGACTATTGCTACCACCCGCTAGGTCTGATATAAGAGACAAAATGGAGCTCTTTAAATTGCTAATTTGGAGCCTCGTGTGGTAACATGGAAAGAGTTCAATTGTAACATTAGGTTACAATTGTAGACATACAAAGCAATCCTATACTTACTAGGAAGTAAGCTTGGCTTCAGTGGAACGTGCTTCTAACCAAGCAAAAATGTGTTGGTCTCTGTTTTGTTAAAAAAAAAAAAGTTTGCATTACTTTTCTAATGTGAATATCAAGTGATTTTTACTTATTCTGTTGTGCAGCTTTGAGAACTATGCAACAATATGCACCCACACACCCCTTTTACAAGTTGAATGGCGTGCAGAACAGCTGTAGTGACATTTGGGATGGGAAGGGAATCAAAGCTGGAGTATTTCAAAACCTATCGATAATTAAAGCATAGTACATATTTGCTGTGATATTTTTAAAATATTTAATAAATTGTACTTGCATATGTGATGTTACATTTTTAAAGTATTGTATGTTGATTTCATTATAGCACTCTTCAAAGAAAACTCTGTCATGCAGTTTGCAGATAACTTTGAAAGTCATGTAAGGTTATAGTCTATCAATGATGTGTAATGTTATTCTATATGTAAACTGAACAATATTCGTTTCCAGTTAAATTATACTTTTAAAATTTTGTGCAATGCATTAAATGCAGCAACATTCTAAGGAGGTATATTCTTCAGATTATTTAGTAAAGATGAATGGTTATTGTATTTAAATCTTCATTCTCACAGATAGTTAAAAACAGCATGTGCCATTCTTTTTTTTAAAAAGCTTTAGGTGTTAATCAGAATTTCTGATCATGGAAACATGCTTCTTTATGGCTACAGCAAATACTTATGGTTAGACACTAACTGGTATAGCAAAAGTGTCATAACTGTCAAATACTTAAAGCACATAATGTACTTTGAACTTCCAATTTGTAGTGATAATCAGGTTTGTAAACTGTGCTCAGTAACTGGCCCTTAGGTTATATTTGCAGATTCCCTGTTTGCTTGTTGGTGAAGGCTAAGTAACAACAGATAGAGTTGATTACAGGTGAACTGAAGTTAGTGTTAATGTAAATAGTTAATATAGAAAAATACAATGCTCTTAACAATGAAAATATGTTCAAACTTTATTATGTTAGCTGGGTTTACTATTTCTATAAAGAAACTGGTGATGTGCAGGCAGGACACATTTTCCAAAACAGCTTTTTTACTAGGAGGCATAATATTAAAACACATTTTGAAATCAAAAATTACTTTAGTTGGTTTTTATACTACTTGTATATTTTGCAGAAGGAAGAATATTGAAACAAACTGCATCAGGAACTTAACTATAACTGTATAGTTAAGGCTCTAAAATATTTGGAGTATTTATAGTAGTAGCAGTATAAATTCCTGGATCCAGCTTGTGAAGCTTTCTTAGGACCATGAAGTACATACTGATAGCATCTGAGAGCATAACGTCATCATTATCAGCTAGTAAAAATTGCCTGATCCCTCATAGTGTTCTTTTGCTGACTACATGTGGATATTGTTCTTTAAATACGTGTCTTCTTGAACTTGGATTTTCGCATGAGGTAAAGGCTACTTAAGCTTAGAAAACTGAATGAATGCTTTTTACAAGGTATGGAAATTCTGGCAGTTTCGTATCACTGTTCAAATTCAACCCCTCTAAGTTTGTGGTCTTCACTTAACCTTTTAAAAATATAAGGTAATTGTACTTCAGAGTCATATTTTTGAGACGTTAATTTATTCAGGCAAGCATGAACTTTCATGAACTTCAGGGCAAGCTACATTGAATTAGCAGAAAGTTTCGCAACAGTGTCTTGGCCAGGCCCAGCTATGTCATGCACCATCAACAACTTGAATAATTTAGGTTTTTATGGTGAAATGTTTGATGTTAATTCTATGTTATAGCAGTTGTAGATATTTTTATTTTAAGCTTCATTGCATATACCTCCTTCATGTATTTTATGAATTGATTTTGAGGCAGTCCACTCATGCTGATAACATTACTTCGGTTGGTGTTACAGTCCAATCATATTACAGAACTATTTTTATTACAGAATGGTGTTGTAAATGTAAGAAAAAATCTTACTCTCTTTGATCCAAACATTTAAAAAGCTATAAATAACTCCAGAAAGTAGAAAGCTGTGTTGTAACTTGCTCATTTAGACATTTCTGCGAGAGACCTTTCCTTGGCCAGTGAAAGATGGCAATCCTTCCCTCAATACAGGAAAAGGAAAGAGGGCTTTCATTTTGAGCAAGTGATTGCCTTCTATAAAACCCAGCATGGTCTCCTTCCTTCCCATAAATTCTCTAATAACTTGGAGGATGGCAGAAGTCAATGGTGACTGCAAATTATCGTGCCCTATTTATACTGTCCTTTGAGGAAAATCTTTAAAAAACAAGCAGTAACTTCCTTTGCAGAACAGTGCCACCTTTCAAAAGATTAGGAAGCCCTTCTGGTAGTGCCCTTCTGCAGTTTGCCTTCCTGACAATATGGGTGTGAGTGAGAGAGTGAGTGGATAGATGAATGAATGACTGAGTAAAATAGTGCTGGTAACCTTGGCAGTGTACCACATTTTCGCTCTATCCCATTTTTTGTTTTACTTGCTAGATTCAAATTGCTGAACAGACTTGGGACAAGAGAAGATGCCAGAATTATTTTTGTATATTGTCTGGTTATTGCCTTTGGATCAGATACAGTGTTACAATAGCTGTAAAATATAAATCCCTGTAGAAATGTTGATTAGTCCATAGCCCTGCTTATCTGCAGTGTTTGACTCATCAAAGATTGAGTTAAAGATTCCAGTGGGCCTAGGGCATGCAGTGTATCCCAGACTTTTAGATGACCCTTGCATGTTATTCAGTTGTGTACAGACCATTTTGTCTGTTTAACCTGATTATCAGCAGTGAATAGATCTTAAAACCTGTATTGTTCCAGTGGCACAAGATTTCCTTTCAGCCACCTAGTGAGATACTAAACAAGAGAGCTGTTTTATCTGACTTCATAAAATGTACTATTGCATTTTTATACTACAGGTTAATGTTAGTTTTGGCCTAGATTGCACAATAGCAAAGACAAGACTATTACATACTTTGGTTTTGAACTGTGTTACAGAAGCAAAAGTTGGCTGAAATAAGGCCACATCAGTAATACATTTTTTCGATTGAAATTAATGAAACAACTTAGGCTTGGCTAACACAGGTGGTACTGAAGTAAGACTAACTTTGTTGTGATTTAACCCACTATCATAAATTCTTATTTGCGTTAAGAGAAAATTCCATGATGGAATTTTTAAAAAATGTGTATCGAAATATTGCAAAATGGGAACTGCACTTTTATTACCTTTATAGTTCCAGGGATTTATAATCATAGTAGCCAAATTTTTGAAAGAACCACCACCCCATCTGCTCTCACATTGTGGAAGAAGAGTTCTGTCTCCCTGTATTAGAAGCACTTATAAGAAATTAGTAGTCTCTCTGGCCTCCGAGTGCCTCCAGTGCCTGTCATAACTCTGCAGAGCTCCTACCCATTTCTCACCTTACCTTAGAGTTGGCAGTTCAGGAATAAGGATGCACATTGATTCAGGCGGGGTGGATTTGATATAATCAGTTGGACTAGATTTAAATAATGGTTTTCTACATAATTTGCATGCATTCCTGCCTTACCCATATGTATAGAGGAACTTCATTAAAATATTCCCAAACTGGGTCTCTTTTATGGCCTGCTGCCATTATAGTTTTTTTTCCTCCAGGGAAGGAAAATATGATAAACCTCAGGCTGTACACAAAAGGATCCAAAGACATGTGGAGTCTTCTCTTCAGAAGGGTTCACTTTCATTTTTACTGCTCGCCCTTCCCTTCTCATACTCCACTTCTTGGGCAGTCTATTCCATTCTCAGCAGTCTTTTTTTCATTGAATTTTGAGAAGCTTGAGGTAAAGGGTTGATTCTGCATACATAGATTCAAAAAGAAACAATGGGATTAAGGTCTTTTTATTGACTCTATATTTTATAACATTTTTGCTGTGAAGAAGAGGCATGTGATCTCTGCTGACACAAATTCAGTTTTGAGAACTGTAAAAGCAAGCACCTTTGGTAATATCTTCTAGGTAGAAAAATTGCCCAATAAACTTACAGAAACCTCTGACAGAGCATGCCTGTTTAATTAATGGAATTAGTTTACCAAAAAATTTAAACATTGTATGAATTATACAGCCTTATGCTACATAAATAAACAGTAATCTTTATTTCATGATAAATAGCTCTATTTTTAAAAATCCAATTGAAATAAAAATTCCATTTTTTTTTAAAGCATTGATTTTTATCCACCCTGGAGTAGTGGAAATGGGCAAAGTTGCCTGTCTTAGAATTGCAGGGAACAAACTGCTGCAGAATGGTATTGTTCAGGCACAACCAGAGCACACTCTAGTATATACAAAATCAACTAATAAGCAATGAGAAAAGAAGACATTCTAATCCTGGCATCAGAAGTTTAGGATATACTGGTTAGGATGGAAAGTGGCTACAGTAGGTAACTTAAGGAGTGGACGTGAACCTGATACAGAAGCTTAACCTTGCAATTCCTTTGATTGTTTTTGTAGAATACAAATCAGTTGTGTTTCAGAAAGAGCTGGTATTCCAGCTGCACAATATTAAACTTGGGTAGTGGATTTAATTAACAACAAGCATTCTGCTAGCTACCCCTTAGTAGCTTTCATTTTTTACCCAAACTGTATGGTAACATTATGGAATGCATAATAGTTTACAAAATTAGTCTGCTTTAAAATATTATTTGGAGTTCTTTTTTCCAAGACTTTTCAGGACTATTTCTGATACTATTTAAGATACAAAAGTGCGAAGTCATTTAGAATGGACTTAATGTTCAGCACAATTCGGATCCCATTTCAAAGTATTATTTCGGTAAAGTAGGTTTATAATCCTTCAATTTTGTATATGATGTTGATGTTAAAAGTCATGCTTGAAGCAACCATTGATGCTAAAGGAAAAGCCGGTTTTAAACACAGAAATATATCTATGTTTTATTATTTGCATTGAAACACTGGGGACTGATTTAAAAAAAAGTTCTAAGCTGCCTTGATACAGGTCGCCTCTGAATATCTTCAGCTCAGGCAGATAGGAGGTCTGGGCTGCTGTGTAGTCACCATTGACCGCTCCTAGACAGGGATGAGTGTGGGTTGTTGCTCTCAGCTGCGGCAGTGTTTCTTGTACAGTTAATTGAAAAGAAGTGCTACCACAGGCTGCACAGATAACTATTTCTTTGCTGCTTTAGTTTCAACTTTTTGTCATTATGTTGTAGTACAAGTTCTCATCTACCATGACTGACTTGATTAGTGTTCCTACATAATGCCAGAAGGGATGGTCCCTGCTTTTTCTGGTAGTCTTCTCCAATCCATTCTTCCCCAACCTGGTGCTCCCTAGAGGTTTTGGACTTCAACTACAGTCAGTTGCAACCAGTGTAAATAATGGTGAGGAATGCTGGGAGTTGTTGTCCAAAATGTCTGGGAAGCACTGGGTTGGGGAAGGCTATGTTATAAAATCTGTAGAGTGAAAATATTGAGTGGAACTAGGCCAGCTTTTTTCTAGTTGGTTAATCTCGCAAACATACCAAAGTAACAATAAATCTTTTGCAGGCTTTTCCAAACTGGAGGCATGTAATTATGGGGACATAGAACAAATTATGTGATAGTCTCACCAAAACATGGTGCTTGTGAAAGGACAATTAATATTTTAATACTCTGTCTTTTGCAGCAATACATGCTTCGGGGACTTAGGTGTGGCTTTTCTAGAGTGTAGCTTGAAGGTGTATAAGCATCTGCAAAGTTAGTTTGACCAAAGATTATAGAACATGAAAAAATGACTCTATATACCATAGGCAAAGGCAGTTTTATAATATTCCTATCCCTAAGTTATAATACTAGTACTGTATGTTACGGAATAGCAGTTGCTTTGTGGAATAACTTACTGATGTGGATTGCGTTCTGTTTTAGGGATAAGGAGAATTGGCAGAAGGCCTGATCAGCAGCCACAGGGAGAAGGCAAGCCTGGTGAGAGGAGGCAGGAAAGACGGCCTCCTCGTGAACGGAGATTTGATAAACCTGCTGAAGAAAAAGGGGAAGGAGGAGAATTTTCCATTGATAAGTAAGAATTATATATGTTAAGATTTGGTCAGGGAAGAAAAATGGTGCTGGGTATGACCTGTTAATAGATTTCATGCAATAATAAGTAACGTAAAATATTTGCTTTAAAATGGCATGTCTCTTCATATATTTTAATAATGTTGGAACTAGTCAGGCTCTGTGAAGATAATAGACCTGAAGAATGTCAGCATTTCTAAAGTAGTTGCATTGTCATTTTAAAACAGTATAGATTATGGGGTAGGAGAGATCTAAGAAGGGCAACTGCTAGTATCGTGATAGAAATATGGTAGGGCAGATGCCTAAAAATATTTCAATATTAGAACCATCCAGACTATTTTCATTAGGGCATGTAAAATGCACTGGCAAATGTAATTCCCTAACTCATTTTTATTTACAATAGACCCATTATTGATCGTCCAGTACGTGGCCGTGGTGGCCCAGGTGGACGAGGGAGCCGTGGTGGCAGAGGACGTGGAATGGGCAGAGGAGATGGTTTTGACTCCCGAGGCAAACGTGAATTTGATAGGCATAGTGGAAGTGACAGATCGTAAGTCTTAGACACATTTTTGCTCTGTAAAATGTATTGCTTCCTAACAGATTAATAATTTGACATTTTGCTTTTGAATTTCTGTATTCTGGTACTATTATGTTAACTCAGTTTTGTTAGTTCTCTTTCACATTCACATTTCAGTGGCTTAAAGCATGAGGACAAGCGTGGTGGAAGCGGATCACACAACTGGGGAACTGTCAAAGATGAGCTAACGTTAGTATTTTGTTTTGAAATGCATTTTTGACTAAATATAAATTATAGATAAAGCTGAATTCTCAAGATCTTATGAAAAAAGAATAAAACCTTACGTATCAGGCATAATATGCAGCATCCTGAGTTAGATACCAAAAGGAGCAAGATTTTATGAAGGTGTAGTGTGCAGTAAAGCTTTGTCTACATTTGGCATTATGATTGTGGTGGTTAGCTATGGCTGTATTAAATGTAATTGGCACATAAAGCTACCCATGTTTTTGCCTTCATTGTTTGCCAACTTCATTGTTGGCAGCTTTGAATGAAATGGTTTAAGATTCTTTAACAGTGGGGGGGGGCATGTATTTCCTAGGAAGCTTGAAGCATCTGCTAGGTTGAAGAAATTGAAAATTCTGTTTGGTTATGCTACATGTTTTCTTCTAATTTTGAACTCAAAGACTGTTGGTTATACATTATATGCAAATAAAACTACTTAATTTCAGTGACTTGGATCAATCAAATGCAACGGAGGAAACACCAGAGGGAGAGGAGCATCCACCTGCTGATTCAGAGAATAAGTACGTATTGTATTGCCCCAGCATTCTTTTATCACTTAGGATAAGTTAAGTTCTTGATAACTTAGATAGTACATGTGCAATGTACAAAGGCTTTTTAAAATTGGGGTGTAGTAGTTACAAAGCATTTAAAGAAAAATAACCTGTAATGTGCTGATTTATCTTGTTACATGGCGGGCTGATTAACACTAGAGTTTAATTCAAATTTAATTGAATCTTAATTTTTTCTGACTTAAAACTTGTGAAAATTAAATTTAGGAGAGAAGCTCTGGTTTTGAATTGTAATTGGTGAAAATTGTGAATTTATGTTGGATACCCAAGAGATTACAATTGCCTTTTCACTCTCTTGTAGCAAAGCTGTGAACTGGTAAGAAATCTTGGGTGTGGGTTGTGCTAGAAGCAGGCTGCTGTGGAACCATGTGGGTTGGTGCAAACAAGTCTTCCCCACTTGCTGTCTTGGCCTTTCAAAATGGAAGCGCATGCCCAGTCAAGAAGAGTCTTGCCCAGCTAGCTGTTCTGACATAATATGCTGGAACACACCCTTGTATGCCATACTTGGTGTGCCAGATATATGAACTTGGCTCATTTGTTTTTTTCAAGGTTTTTTTTTTTTTTTTTTTTTTGGCCATAGTTGCATTTTTGTGACTTTATATAAATTAGGATCTCATTTAAAACAAGAAAACAAGTTTAGTTTGTAGCATGTTACTATATCATCATGTATGTTAAAACAAATAGCATGATATATCTCAATCATGGCATTGATGTATTTGAAAACCTCTGATCACTATGTAGAAGGTTTCCAACATGTTCTGTTGCAGCAATTTTTCATTCTTGATCTAATTTGAATACATTCCTCTAATTTTTTCTTCTGAAGTGAAATAAGCATTATTAATAATGGCCATTATTAAAATTGGTTGGCAGCAATATATTCCATACTTATGGATTAAAATGCAATTGTTAAGGAGCCATATGTTATGCCTTCATCTGATTGTCACATAAAGACAAGCTATGGTTTAATTAGCCATAATGTAGCCACACTGGAGACATTCAAAAAGAACCTGGACAGCCATCTGAGTGGGAACATAGTGTCCTGCAACAGTAGGGGGGTGGACTCAATGGCCTTGATGGCCCCTTCCAGCTCTTCTATGATTCCATTCTATGATTCTATGAATCATGAGATATTGTTAGAGGCAAGTTAGATTTTTAAGCATAAACAACTCAGCCTATGGTTTCATGTTGGTTTGGAGCTGTTCACATGATGCATCAGCCCATGGAGCAGGGTTTGCGTGTGTAACTTGAGTCCACTGTGTTGAATATTCAACCCCTGTTTTGGGGATACTAACCCAGTAAGGGTCAGTTATGCAAGGTTAAAGAACCCTCTCATATCCCATAGTCTGCTTCAGGACTGCGCAAGAGTTGTTTAATTTGCTGTGTAGCCTATGCTTGTTGGGTTCACATGATGCAATCCTCAAGAGATGGAGTTACATATTTGATACAGTGCCCTTGGACATCATAGTCTGTGATCCCATGACATCTAAACTTTGCCACTGTGAACTGTGGGTTGTTTAAACCATAGGTTGTCATGTGAAACCCAGAATTGTGATTTTTTTCCACCAAACTATGCAGGCAGTGATTAAGTCAAGAACCTAACCTCTTTGAGTGTTAGTTCTAAAAGACAGTAAGGATATAAGGAGCAGACAAAGGAGGAAGGAAACAACCTGGGGAATAAGAATAAACCATGAACAGGGCAACAGACCATTGCTTAATTAGTACATCAGTGTTACCTGCAATCCAGATACTTAATTCTGAAGCCTTGGAATTGGAAGATAGGTGTGATTCTAAAGCATTTGTGTTCAAGGGATTTTGAGCAGGACATTTTGTTGAATTAGAATTCATGATTTAAAATAAAGCTTTTTTGTTAAGAATAAATTAGGTGGCCTTCCTACTTGTTCCTGTGTTCAGACTGCACCATTCTGAATGTATTACTCGCAGAAAAAATGTGAAATGAGTAGCCATCACTGTAAACTTATTGTAGAGAGAATGAAGTAGAAGAAGTCAAGGAAGAAGGTCCTAAGGAAATGACTCTAGATGAATGGAAAGCTATTCAGAATAAGGATCGTGCAAAAGTTGAGTTCAACATCCGTAAACCAAATGAAGGTGCAGATGGACAGTGGAAAAAAGGTTTTGTTCTTCATAAGTCAAAGAGTGAGGAGGTAAGAGGCAATTTTGGGATTGTCTTAGCTTTGTGTTTTGTTTAGGGGTTGGGTTATGCTTTTGGTTATTCTCGCCATGTTTATTTCTTACATCAGATTTTATCATGCAAATGCCAAAAATGTTAGCACACATTTCTAACATTTGCAGTTGAAGATGGAAGCTTAGAAATATGTCTGATATTGGTATGTGGGGCTTTGGCATTCAGGATGTATTCCAACTTAATTGCATTCAGTAGGATATTTCCCAGTGGTATGTGGATTACAACCACAATTAATGTAAAGTCTGACTTTTAAAACCAGTTCAACTCTGTGGAAATAGTGTGTGTTGTAGGATTCTTACTTCATATGGGTAGTTAAACATGCACTGTTTCACCTCATTAAAGAATTAAAACGGTCTCAAGGAAAAAATGCTAATGTATATGAAGTAGTCCATTCAACTGTAGTAGCTTCCCATTAAAAACTTGAAAGTAAATAAAGTTAGTGCTAATAAAGCGATGCTTGGAACAAGACATTGGGTTTAAACAAATATTTCCCCTTTAAAGCCACATTTTTCCCAGATGGAAATGTTTGTCCAGGCAAATGTCAAAAATATGGGCATGTGAGAGATGCTATGTGATGGAAAGGACCTTTTGAGGCTTGAGGAATGGCAGGGGTTAAAAGATGGAGTTGGCTGGCCTGATGGGAAGAGCAGAGAAGCTACAGGTGGTCAGGACAGGGACGCTTTGGCGCCAAGGTCATACAGTGGGAGGAGAAGGGTTGAAGGCTTGAAAATTTACAAGGTCAGATATCATCTTCCCTGGGATGGATGCCAAGATGTAGAAAGAGAGAGAAGGGCAATAAAACAAATGGTTCTGCAGGTCTGGCACCCTGCGATGGGCAAAAGACTTGGATTTTTCAGCAACCCCCAGGGGATCAAAAGGTTATGCTGGCTTGGGGAAGGAATAAAGAGAAGGCTGATGGCCAGTTTTTGCGCCTCACCTAGAGAGAGACAGAGGTTTGCCAGATGCTGAGGCCCAGGAGATCGGGATGGTTACTCTGAGGAGACTGGTTTGGCACAGTGAGGCAGTTTTTAGGTTTTTAGCTCAGTTAGTCTTTGTGGTTTTAGAGCATGGGTCCTCAAACTATGGCCCGGGTGCCGGATCCAGCCCGCCATGCCCATTTGGACCTGTCGTGCCCACATCCTCCACCGCCCACCTTGTCCCGCGTACGTGGAGGCAGCAGTTTGCTTGCTCGGGAAAACAGTCTCCAAGCAAGCAAGCTGCTGCCTCGTGCACCCACCTCACTGTGCGCCCCGCCTCAGTGTGCATGCCCGCACGCCTCGGCCCGTGCACACCACCGGCACCAGCATTGGCATCTTTCAACTGGTCCCCTGGTTAAAAAGTTTGAGGACCCCTGATTTAGAGTCTGGATGGTCAAACGATCCTGAAGGGGGAAAACCTCTGGAAATTGTATTGAATTGACTACCTCATCCTTTTCTCCCTTTTTCCCTTCCCTTACTCATGAGTAGCTGAAGTTATTTGTACTTTTTCCCTCGTGTGTATGTGTTTGTTGTAGTCTAATAAAGACTCTTTTTCCCCAAGTCTTGGGTCAGCATGTGCTGGTCCAGTGCCGCTTCTTTGTCGGGGCCAGGATTAAGTCTTTTTTAACCCCAGGGGCTAAAAGTTGGGGGACTTTTGGCAGTGTTTGGTGAGGGTAGTTTGCCTCACCATTACATCTTGAAACTTTAATACTGCTGAGCTAACAGTTTTCTTGATGCATTATTTTATGGTGAGGTGCATTTATGGGGGCTATCTTTGCTAAAAAAAAATAACTAAATACCTTGAGAATATGTCAGGCTGCAATTGTAAATAATTTCATTTCCCTTAGTTCTCTCTTTCTTCTAGCAGCACCATTGGTTACATTCTCATTCAGAAATAAAACCAGCTGGGTTCAGTGGAGCTTAATCCTGTGTATATGCAAGGGTTGCACCAAGGTCATTTTTTTCAAGTTCCTTAATGCTTAAGAGGTGGTCAGCATGAAGTGCATGAATGGGAGTGAGTGCATGCTGTCTCCCATGCATTCTTCACTTGCACTTTTAATTAAGAAGCTACTCAGTTGTATGTTAATTAAAAATGGAACTGAAGAGGCATGGGAGGCACACTTCTTGCTTCTGCAAATTGTGAATTTGCCATGCAAACTGGGTCTAAGAAATCTAATCTTGACTGCTGTTGACTTTGCCCAAAAAAATCATTGGCTTGAAAGCCTTAAGTATCTTGTTAAAAGTATTGTTTTCTGTTTGCTGTTGACTTCACCCTTTCTGTCCCCATTTGTTAGGGACTTATAGCTTAAAAGTTCATTAGGTAACTATGAAACACTTTTCTATTTATAAAGTCTCATTTTTTTCCATTTGTTTTTTGTCTTCCTGTGTCAACATACAATTTGTATCAGACAAAGGGGATGACGGAGATGCAGGGGAGTCAGTTGGAACCAAACGAGGTATCTACCTTTTATTTATGAGCTATTTAGTGAATGAGGAACAGCAAAAGACTCAATTTGAGAAGTTTTAAGAAACCCACTGGTTATTGACAATATAAATGAGGGGTGTAACTTGTGATTGTGAACTCATTAGTGAATTTGTAGCTAATAAGCCTGCTGGCCAGGCAAATTACTCTTGTCCCTGTTTATTCATCTGTGCCTGCTTTGTTACATTAAGCAGTACTTCTATTAACTCTGTAATACATTATGCATAGTGGAGGTGGTTTTTTTGTTTTCATTTTTTTGTTTGTTTTAAGAAGGATCTTTTTCACACTGCATCCCAATATGCTTCAACATGGTAGTTATCCAGGTACAATTTATTTATTTATTTAAAACATTTTTATGCCGCCCCATCGCAACGAAGCCTTGGGGCGGCTCACAACAAAAACAAAATACATAATTTTTAATTGTTATTTATTTATTTAAAAAAACCCTGGTGCATCTCAGCTAAATATTTAAAATCCTATAAATACAAATAATTTAAAAAAATAAGTTTTAAATAAAAAGGTCTTAGCCTGGTGCCGAAAAACAAATAATGACGGCGCCAGGCGGACCTCTCTGGGGAGTGCATTCCATAGATGGGGCACCACTGCAGAGAAAGCCCTCCTCCGGGTACTCACCCTCCTAATATCATTCACAGAGGGTTCCCAGAGAAGGGCATCTGTTGCTGATCTCAAGGGGCGGGAGGGCATATATGGACGCAAGCGTTCCTTTAGATATCCAGGTCCCAAGCCATTTAGGGCTTTATAGGTCATAACCAACACCTTGAATTGGGCCCGGACTTCAATCGGGAGCCAGTGGAGCTGACGGAGAACTGGGGTTATATGAGAACAACGTCCAGTCCCTGTCAGCAACCTGGCAGCTCTATTCTGCACCAACTGAAGTATCCTTACTATTATGCAATAGCTGCATAACTTGCAAAGCAAATCTTTGTTTACTGCAGGTTTATTTCTTTCCACTTCTTTGAGGTTAATCATATTCTGCTCTGGGGTTTGCCCCCACAACACAACACCTTACGAGGGTCTCCCACAAAATCTCAGTGAAGATTAAATGTCTTCATTGGCTATCAAAAGTTGAATGAGTGACAGTAGAGAAAACAGAAAATGTTGGGAGGACTGAACTGCGAGTGGCTGAAATCCTGAAGGGGCACTTCACTCTGATTGATATATTAATGTGTATTTAATTGATTTGTTTTCCGTTTTAATTGTACTATCGTATTTTATCTCACTGTTGTTCTTGGAAGCAGCTGCCTTGAGCACTATTTTTAATATAAAGGTGAAATGAAAAGTGCAGGTCCTACTAGTGTTGTACCAATACAGGAATGTGTTAAGTGTTTCTTAAGATTGGGTTTGAAATGTCTTTGTGCATTTCTGATTTTGAATAGGTACAATGTGTTATGATATAATTATCAAAATTATTTTTGAAGTTAAACTAGTGTGCTATAGTTTTACGATGTGCAAAATGTAAGAAATGTCTGAATATTCAACTGCTCCATTCAAATAACTGATCCCAATTAAAACTATTTTAGAGAACTTGTTATACTACTAAGTTTAATTTTGATAAATAGGCTTATAGGCGTTCATAGTGAACCTAGTTTTATGTATCTGGTTTATTGCCCATTGATTATGTACTTTGAAACTTCTCTGAATGTTGGGGTTCAGCAAGATAGAAAACATAAGTATCTATTTTAAGGATCAAATGAAATATGACAAATAAGATTATAGAGGTTCCATCCTGTAGCATGTAATTTCTTTTGTTTTGGCTTTACTGTATTCAAAAGAATATATGAGAATTATAAGCATGCCCACTTTTTGCAAAGCCGGAAAAGTCAGAGGTGGTAGAGAATGGAATTGTGTAAGATGCTGATGGGGGTGGGCCTCTGACACATTTTAGAGGTGGTGTGGTCTCTACCACCCCATCTCTAAAATTGCAGTGTTTGTACATATTTCAGCTATATTTATATAGCTGTGTTGCTCTGTTAAATTTTTTATTTATATATGAATACTAAAGCTTTATATATTGAGTATTCACATACTTCCTGTGTTTATTAAAATGAGCTGTCTAGTGCTTACAGTTAGCTTCAGTGAAAAACTGCTGAGAATATATAACAAGAGTAGAACCACAAACACATATAAAGAATAAAGGGGGAGACAAGCATAACAGACACCTGCACACCCCCAAAACACCACATAGCCACACAGTAATCAGTGATACATTGAACTGGTGTTGACAGTATTACTAACTGTGTGCATGTGTGCTCACACATATGTAGAGAAATGGTCAAAGATATATATTCTCAATCTTGAAGCACCCTAGTTCCTTGGGTTTGAAAGGTGCGCTTGTACTTCATTCTATTCTTTCTCTGACAGTCCTGCTTGCTGGACTCATTGGGGGTGGGACCTGTTGTTGTAGCTTTTCAACATTATTTCGTGCAAAAGGAATGTTGGCTGAATACTGTAGTACTCGTTTTCCTTGAGTTCATGTTGTTACTTAATGAAAATATATTTAAATGGTGTTAATTGATCCTGTTGTGCTTTTTGATCCTGGCTTGCGTTTATTTAGCCTCATGCTGAAGACTCTGGAATAGATCATCATTTCCGCAAGCCAGCAAATGATATCACATCCCAACTGGAGATCAATTTTGGTGATCTTGGTCGTCCTGGGCGTGGTGGTAGAGGTGGAAGAGGAGGACGTGGGCGTGGTGGAAGGGCTAGCCGTGGAAGCAGAACTGACAAGGTAATCATTGGTTTTGCTGAAACAAAAGAGTTCTTCGTATGTTTGTTGGGTAGAACAAAAAGAAAAAAAGGGCAGGGGTTGAAATTAGAAGAGCAAGAAACTAATGTATAGAAGCTGCTTATTTAGTAATAATGTTTTTAATATTGTTTGTTGTCGCAAGATTGAAAGTTGAAAGATGCTTGAATCTAACTCCTTTGTGTGTGAGCAGAATGTTCTGCAAGAACTTCAAGGTGTTTCCGATTCCTTCTCTCTGCTGCAAGCATCCGTGCTCATTCCAGATATGGAATGAGCTCTCCACTGAGGCCTTCCTAGCACCAACTTGCTGAATCAATTGGAATTCTATGTGTTTTTAATTTTTTTTGTATGACAGTTTTCCTAAAGTTTTTATACTGTGGTACATGTTAGAATGTTTTAATGGATTTTTGTAAACTGCCCAAAGAACTTCAGCCATTGGGCAGATTAGAAGTTAAATTAGATGCTGTTCTATGGATACACTGTTCCTAAGCTTTGGGAATTTTGGGAATACTGTACTTAAACACAGTGCTGCATCTAAAATGAGAAGGCAGAAAAGCCCTCTTGGAAGAGCAGAAAAAGCCTTACAGAAGTTTAAATTCAAGCTGCTGTTTTCTTGACATAAATTTTATTTATTTAATTTTTATACCACTCAACAGCTAAAACTCTCTGGGTATTCTAAAAGGCAAAATACCCATGATTTAATTGAATGTTGTATACACTGGTTGTCTCACAGGTGGGTAAAACTAAATTATGTCTATCTCACTTTCAAAACATAACCTAGTTCATGAATGTGGTATTTCTTGTCTTAGCTGTGCTCAAGATAACACAGTTCCTAAATAGAAATTTGTATCTCAAGGAGTGTTACAGTTTTCCATGTCACAAACAGGAATATTTAACTTGTTTTGCATATGCTTTATGGGGGAAATAGTGTAGTTTTTCACTATTAATTCAGTTCCGGGATTTATTTTTTTTTTTGGAAAAGATCTATCTACCGATCTACCGATCTATCGTTAACAATCTTGCTGGAAGCAGTTCTTTTTAAAGCTAGGTTTCTGATTTCAATTTGTGAGCTTGCTGATTACAAATGTGTGGATCCACACTAATTTTGTTTCACCATGCTTCATTCTAGTTGGTTAAGGAGTTTGATGTGATCCACACACCCAACCAGGTTTGTGATTTGTTAATTTTTTATGTCCTTTGGAATTTTTTAGATCTTCTCATATTAAATATATAGAAGTTAATACAGTGGACCTGACCAGACAGTGTTTAGTATTCATACTCAACATGGTAGCAGTGGGATGAATTTTCTGAGCTTAAAAGGCAGGTGGCCCAACTTGCTCAGTGAAGAGCCACATATGGTAAATGTCAGATGTTTGAAAGTCACAAGTAGGTGCCCAGGGGGTGGTGGGATGCAAGTGGGCACCCCAGGCAGCGAGCTGCAAAATAAACTCGACTACATGCGGTTCCTGAGCCTTGGTTTGGCCACCCCTGTTATATGCATTGCCTCTCTGCATAAACTGGACAATGTCATGTACTGTATTCACAGGACTGAGAACCTCAGAAAAAGTCTCTCCACTTTTTCAAAAAAAAAAAAAAAAAGTCTCTCCACTTTAGTTTCGTATGTCCATAGTTTGCTGCTTGCCAAACTGTAAATCTCTGAACATGTAACCACTCTTTATACCAAAATGAGCAAACCTGCTTGAAGAAGGACATTGCACAGGTGGACACCACCAAGAGGAAAGTACTACTGTACTGTGTGCAAACTTCTATCATCCTACTGTTTTTAGAAGCTAAGCAGGTAGTTTTGTTTATCTGGCAGGTATCCTCTGTATTTAATAAATCTGCATAACTGCTGATACATAGGCAACTTATGAGAAACTTATCACCTGATAATTTCCACAGTAGAGAGCAGTGGCATGTGCAGGGCTAATAGCCTTTGTCAAAATTCTTTACATTTTCTTAACCTTGGCATGTACCTTGTATGCATTCATTGAATACAAATGTGTTACAATCTTATGTAATGACACAGATGAAAATTGATATACACGTCAACTCTCCAAATAATTCATAAACTATTTTTCTTTCAGTCAAGTGCTTCTGCTCCTGACGTTGATGATCCAGAAGCTTTTCCAGCTCTGTCCTAAACTGGATGCCCTAAGCCAACCCTTTGCCTCTTGTTGGGTCCTCTTCTACAAGGCTTGCATGCTTAAGGATCCTAAAAACAACTTAAGAAATTAAAAAGGGGACTCTCATTCATACCATTCACACCTTGAAGACTGAATTTTACCTGTTTTGAAAATGAACTTCTCTTGCTACACAGGAGCAACAATATAGTAGTCAGTTTTGTATTTAGAAATGTAATGGTAGCAGGGGTGTTTTCATTTTTTTTTTTGAAATTATGCATTCTTCATGGATACTTTTTTTGTATTGCTGCTTGAAAATATGCGTTTCCAAACTTGAAATATAGGTGTGAACAGTGTGTACCAGTTAAAGCTTTCACTTCATTTTTAATAGGGTTTTAGATGTGTTTTCCCTGAACTACAAACAATTTTAACTTGCACACTATCTTTCTTCTAATACTGCTTAGCAGATTGTTTTCAGTCCATGGTCAGCTGGGATATGTACAAAAATAATTTGGAAAATTGTTAGTACTGTGTGGAATACTAACTTCTGGAGTATTTTGAGTTTTTAATACTTAAAGTCAAATTTGGAAAAGTCCAGTTTCTTCTATCTTTGGTAGTTTGTGTATTCAAAATCTTTATACAAATTAATATCAGATACTTGAAAAATAGTTGAAGCACATTGGTTTATATTCTCAATACCTACTTGTGAATCCAGCAGCTCTGTTTTGGATAATTGGTCTAAGTCATTTAAAAAAAAAAGTTACACCTCCCGTATTCACCCTTTTAATCTTAGTCCCTTCCTTTTGTCTGTTCTGTAAACTTTGTTTAAATTTGATAATATTGTCGCTACCAAAAATATCTTGTAGCCTGGAGCAACTTTTCTTTTCAAGACATGGGAGGTGGGCAGGGAATGGCCTCTGTTTCTTAATACAGTTGGTTCAAACTACATTTGCTACTTGTCTGGCAGTGCAGTGTATCTACACAAAAATGCCACCTGAATTGGATGCATTCAAACATTGTTCAATTATCTGCAACCATGGTTCTAAAGAAGAAACCAAAGGGCACTTTTTACTACTTGGGAGGAGGATTGTTTGACTTATGTAAGTTGGAGAACAAAAGAGCATCAAAACTGGACAACTGTGGTCTCCGTGGGACATAAACCAAACTTCACCACTTAATTGAAATGTGGATTTTGCTCTGTTGCTTCAGCTTCTGATCTCTGCTAGCTGACAAGTGAATGTTTTATTTTCATAGGTTGATTGTAAGAAATTCTCCTTTCCACTCTAGAATTTTCTCAGTAGTGTAATCCCTGTGAACAGGAATGTTACCACTTTCAAAACACGGACTTGAGCAAATAATAAAAAGGACTACTTAGGGGTTTTTTTGTCTGCGACATTCATTAGGATGCTAGAACAGGAATATTCATTTATGTAAGGTTTTTACATTTTGAGCAGCTTGTAGCATTTTGGGTTCCTTAATGAGGTAGAAAACTACAGTGATGCCCTATTTTTTTAAAATCTGTACAGAGTGGGCAAAGTATTGGATGACTGAATAGTAAATTCCTTGCTTGCAGTATTCAGCTGACTTTCATAATCTGAATGTTTTCAACATTTGTTTACATAAGCAAAGGTTACTCTTTTAGACTTCTGGTACATTCAGCTCTTCAGCATTGTAGTCAGGAAGAAAGAAGCAGATTTTTAAGTGTATCAAATTGATTTTGCCCCAAAGGTTGTTTTTAAGATGCTAAGCATTTTGTCAGAGTTCCTTGGTGCTTTGTTTTAAGATCTCTGATCTTTGGAGGTAGTCATTTTTTGGGGTCAACAGGTGCATATGTTCTCAGTATGGATTTGTTTTGTTCCCTGCCCTGTCATCTCATAGCATATGTTGGAAGATAATAGATGCTGTCTGTATCCTTAAAAAACATTTCACATAACCACCGTGCAAGTATTCTGGTCCCCAAGGACATGCCTCCTGAATACTTCTGTGCTGCTCCTCCTATTTCCCTTCCTTATACTCCCCCTTTCCAGAACAATAGTGACTCTTTCTTCTTTGGACCTTAGCCCTTTTGGCTTTAGTGTTCCTGAAAACATGTCCTCCATAATGCCAGTTTAATACTTGACACAGTTCCTTCATCCCATAGCACATATGTATCATAAAACAGGTTTAGAAAGACCTAACAATGGCTCCTTTGCTGTTCTTTTAATAGCTATGTACTTGATTTGTGTCAAGCTGTGAAAAACTTCCTCTGATACTGGTGCATATGTTGACAAAATAAAGATTTATTTTCATGCTCTTTTATAAAATGTCATAAAAGGTTGGCATGATTTTTTCTAATGTAAGGCATCTTATTTAGTTTCTGGCTTACAAGCTGCTAAATAATTTGCCAGGGTATGGGCCCCTTGTGAATCCGTTATCAGCAGTGGGTATCCTTTTGCATACTTCTAGTATTAGCTATTAAATGAATTTGACTTTATTTCATTTTCTCATGCTTGCTTATCCTTCTGTTGCACCACAGTGTTTAGGAGTGAGGCTTCTCTTAAAATGGGCTAATGTTGAATATGAATTGATTGACTTTTAAAGTTTGAGCATGTAAGTTCAACTTGTATCAAAAGACTGGCAGAAATATTGAGTAAAAGAAAAGAGCACAAGCCTTTCTGAGGTAAATCCCCAAGGATCAAAGGTATGTTTATTGTGAATATGCATTGTCTTTCTGTTGGACAGGTACTGCATCTTATGATTGGTTACGTCTTGCTCTATGAGATACACTTGCATACCATACCTGTTGACTTAATAAAAGTAGGATTGATGCTTCTGGGTGTCTTGAGTGGTCAGAGTATAGAGATGTATTCATCTTCAGATAAATAATTGGTAACTGAAATTACTGATAAAAATAGTAACTTGTAACAAGGCAGTACCCTTATTTTGTAGGATTGTAGGTATCGGCTATTTCAGCTGTGATTTCAGCATTTTCACCTTGGAAAATCAGAGATCTTAATATGGCAGCATTTTTGTTGGTTTTACTGTAGATACAGATTATTTGAGGTGGACCCTGCATTTGTTCCCCTAACAAAAATGGGCAACCTTTCATGATCTTTGGAGGAGATCTGGCAATTTGAGAAATGTTGGGCTGCAGCCTTTTTTTTTTTTTTTTTAAAGTCTGCTATGGGAGGCATGTGTTGTCACAGTGGAGAAATCTGCCTAAAAGCCTTGTCTGCAAGACATAGGAGGGGGACACAGCTCCAGTGTATTAAACTCAAACCCAGTGTTTCCAATGCCAACAGCTGGCCAACCACATGTTATAGATTCAGTTTCACAGAATTCAACCTCTTTTCTCCTACCTTCCCCCCAGTACTGCAAGCCAACTCATTTCCCTCCCTCCCTTCCTTTCTCCCTCTGGATAACCACCCTGATTCATGTGCCCTCTCAACACCTGTCACAAGGGAGCCAACCACACAGTATACACAGTATGTAGCTCCTCTTTTCGCAAGAGTATGAAAAGGGGATCCCTCCGCTATCCTCACTTGCAGCTCTCATCCATTCAGACATGCAAGCACCTAAGTGTGATTTGGTTTTCCACTGCCTCACTAGCCCTGCCCCAATTCTTCCTAGCCTACAGCTCTTTGGCTCACTAAACAAGTTTACAGGAGCCACTCTCTGGCTAGGTAAGGAAATCCTCAGCCTGTAGCTGTGTGCCACCTTCATTTACCAGGAATGTCTGGGAGCCCCACATGTGGCCGAGGGGCATTCACAAGGAATGAGAATGTCTGCATCTGGAGTCCCTCAATGCTTTGAAGCCATCTGTGGGAAAGGTAAAAGTTTTTTTCCCCCCCAAGGACACAGGAGGGCACTCCGGCAGGGGCCTTGAAAGGGGTCCAGGAGTATACTGGCATCTGGGTACATCAAGCTTATTGCTGCAGCCTTAGCAAGAGGTGAAATTTTTAAAATTCACCAAGGGTTATGCAGATAGAAATGGATGGATGAAGAAAGGAAAGGAAGAGGGATAATTTCTAGTAGGAAAATACTGATTTTCATCCCATTCAGACATTGTAACATTGTTCTGTTTCTTCTCTTGTGATTTAGATACACTGCCTGTGCCACTGCACTGTTTTTATTCATTCAAGATACTGGACAGAGGGAGGTGTCTCTTGCACATTACGTTCTTCTCAGATTCATCTGGATTGGAGGCAGAAGAACGGCTTGGGGGGGAGGGGACAAGTTTATCCAGTGAAGGAAGCTTCTCAGAGCACCTTAAAAAGCTGGAGTAGGAAGGGATGAAGGAATCTTTTGACCTGGTCAAGACGCAACAGGTGAAGCAAGCAAACCAAAAAAGTGCTTAGCATTCACTTTCCAGCCCACAAGGTGCAGGAGCTACCCTGATGGTGGAGTCAGAAGCTTTACTGAAAGGGAGCAAAGGAGGGAAGTTTCAGTTTGGGTTCTATTCTACATGGGCAGATGCTTCTTCCACATCACAAAAGGAATGCTCCTCTGATTTAGACTGTTCTGTAATAAAAGTACTGTGCTTCTAAGGCTTAATTTGAGTCTGCTAGAGAAAAGGGACATGTTCATGACACCTATCTTCCTAATTGCATTTGTAGGCACTCTGATTCACTGGTCAATTTTACAATTGAGAAGGCTTTACGATAACAGCAAACAAAAAGTAAAGGCTGCAGATTAATCATTGAGCCATATTGGCAAAACTTTCTTAGAAGATGAGGGGAGGACATTTTTAAAGCATCTTTCAGCTCTCACTGCCTTCAAGGGAATTATAAATATGCAGTAGAGTGTTTGGTTCGGGGTCCAAATTTTTTAAATAGGGGGCCAGTTCACTGTCCCTCAGACTGTTGGGGGTCAGACTATAGTTTGAAAAAAATATGAACGAATTCCTCTGCAGACTGCACATTAAAAATAATTAAAATAATTAAAATATAATTAAATGTTTGCTCCCTCGGGCTGCAGCAGAAGCCCGAGATGAGGTGGGGAGGAGCATGTCCATCTTCAAGGGACATATCTACAATACAACCAAGGCACTAAATACAGTATTTTGCATAATGCAGCTGATGACTGCAACTGGTATTTACAGAAAATGAAGGAAAAATGCTAAGGATAAATACTGTTAATGCCACTCTTAGTGTTTGAAGCAAGTCAGCCTAGAACAATTCCCACAATACACAATGACTATATGGATGCAGAGCTAATGACTACCATATTTTAGTGCAACCTTGCCAGAACTGGTACTGCCCAGATGAGTTGGACTACAACTTCCATTGGCCATGCTGGTTGGGCATGATGGAAATTATAGTCCTTGCCACTGCCCCGCTTCTGCGGGAGCAGGAGGCCGGAGAGGGGAGTGCGGGGTGGCTCCCCCTGCCAGGAGAGGGCTGTGAGGAGGAAGGTAAGGGCTGCTTTCTGAGGTGGGGGGAGGCCCACAGCCCGGGGACATGCCCCACATAATTAAAAATAGATCTAAAAAGTTATATTTTTCTTACTTTCAATCCTTTTTAGTGTCTCTCTCTCTTCTGCCCTCCTGTTTCCTGCTCTGTATTCCCACTCTGTATTCAGAGCCAACACATGTGTGCAATTGGGGGGGGGGGGAGATCCAGTGCATGTGCAATGGAAGGGAGCTGTTACAATTTGGCCCGTGCACCAACTCTCTGCTCAGTTTCAGAGAATGCCTGAACCAGCTCAGAGCTTTCAGACTCGCTCGGCGATCGTTTTCTCTGAACAAGTCCAAAAACTCTGAGGTGGACTGGGTAAATGATCATGGTGGGCTGTATCCGGCCCGTGGGCCGTAGTTTGAGGACCCATGGTTCGGATTAATGAATTGAAAAGCTGGGGAGTATCTGAGTGAGTCAAAGCTTAGATTTTCTTTCAGAAAATTAACTGCTGAACTACAAGTTTAAGTGGTTTGGTTAAAGAAAACCAAAGTACGATAACAACACTATGACCCATTTTTTTATTCTTCAATGTGTAGGAATAGGCTGAGATTGGTTAATGTCATTTCTTTTTATTTCTATTTTAGAAAACTATTCTGTTTTTAACAATTTCTAGGATCTTACTCTTGAGCACTTCGGCGTTAAGCCCAAGTTAGTAATTGCATGTTATCCCATTTCTAAATCTGCTTTTGGACAATCATATATTCTGGAATAGCCATACTACATATTTCAGGCGAAGGACTATGTTACTTCTCAGTACTGATGACAACTGAGACAACACTAGTAACTGCTTTTTTGTACAACAAACTTTTTTGCTTGCCAGAAGCTACAGAAGAGGCTAGAGGCTTTAGATGAACATTCATAGCAGTCCTCCCAGTTCATTTTCAACAAGATGTTTCTCATTCTAACCAAGGAACTGTAAATTGGTCTGCTTAATTTTGTGACAAGCTAGACTTGTCAGGTGGTTTCCTCACAGAAACAGGATAATGCCTTACAGGCTTCAAAGTGGACGGTACTAGAGATAAGTAGATGGCACTTCTCTTATGTGAGTGGTGAGCATACTGTTTCTGAAATCCCCAAATCATTAATTGATTTATCGAGTTTGTTCCATGTACAGCTAATAGGTTCTGTAAGAAAGCCAATTCTTTTATTTTTCAATGAATCAATTCATCAAGTACCATTGTGGCTTGAATAAGGTTCTATCATATTTTCAATATTACCTGGAACACAATGTTTATTTTTGCTACATGCTTGAATGAGGATAGGTCAATCTGTTGTTAATTCTTTTTGAGGAAAAGTACTCTCATATTGCTTTTCTTGATCACTTCACTTGTTGAAGACATCAATACAGAGGTCAAATTTTAATAGACCCAATTAAAGGGCCCTTGTTCTTCAGTTCTCAAAAGCATATTTCATAGATTGGTTAAAGCATTCGGCTAACCATTGTTAGATGATATGAAATGAGTGTCAAGCGCTTTGTGCCATTTTAAAGGTTTGGAATTTCATTGATAAGTGCCACCTGCACAGGCCGCTGTTGGATCTGAAAGGTCCTGAAACCATTTGGAACATAATCCACCATTTCTAGGACACTGGGCCTGTAGACTCCCAAGTGGGTGTGTTCCCAGGAAGCTGTTCCCAGTTCCACAAAGAGCCCATTGAGACATATGTTCTAGTTGATAGCCAGAGCAATTCATTGCTGGTTGATCAGTCTAGTCACCTCTGCCTAGCCCAGTGGCCAATGCCATCACCTTAACTGTGGCTTTTCAGGGATTATTGCTTAGTATTCCTATCTAATATGTGAGTTCATTTCTGTGATGAAAAATGGTTTCATGCTTTTCTAGCGACTCATTTTCCTATCATTTTAAGGTGGCCTCATACTTCTATGAACAAGGGATTTTTGCTTCTCCCTCAGTATGGCAGGCATGACTGGTAGACAGTTTGATCATCTCTGTCAGTATCAAACTTTTCTAAAGTAGTGAAGCCTTGGGTAGGACATATTGGAGAGCTTTCATTCACTGGGTCACCGTAAGTCAGAGATGGTGGCACATAACACAGCATAAAAGCAATCCTGTTGTTTTAAATGGTCTGTGCATCACACACATGGGCTTGTGCACCTGTACAATGCCTAGGACTGGGAAAAACTTAAATATCTGACTGTTCAAGAGTGGGCATCCATCCAACTCTTGTAATGGATGGGTTAGCCCAGCTGCTTTACAGTGCTTGATTGTTTCTTTAAACATTTTTTAAAACAAGCCCCAGAATTGAGTATGGATTGCATCAATCTCTGGAAATGCTCTTCATGGAATGAAAAAAGGGTGGTAAGGGTTTCTTATCTGTAATTAAAATAATTTTTCTACTAGAAAGATATTTTTATTGCTTA